AGGATCTTCTGGACCCACCTCGTGGCTGAGTGTTCCCTGCCGCCCCCGCCCCAATTACTTTGGACACGTCTTCGGAGATTAGCTTGGATGTGTTATCCGGGAAGGCCAGCCCTTCCCTGGAGAAGGACACGGTGTTTGTTAGAGGAGGAGACCTCGAATGAGATGGTGTGACCCAGAGACTGCAACAATGGGTGTAAATATAGCAACCATTGTGAGGACGATGCAGACCGGGGCCGTGTTTCCTCTCCTTCTACACAAGGTCCCGGTGAGTCAGAGGGGACCTGACAGCATCCACCCACAACACCCTAGAGCCAGCTCCTCCCGTGCCCGGCCTCCACAACAAAGACCCAGCCCGCCGCTCTACACCACCACCCGGGAACCAGATCCCAGCCCACCTCATCCCAGCAGACGGACGGACGGAGCACACACTTGCATAGGTCTCGGCCGCAAACAAAAAGCAGAAGGGCTGCCCTGGAGGGCCAGGCAGAAACCCTACCACTGGGCTGTCACCACTGAGAGCTCTTGGGAGTCAGAGCTCCAGTGGAAGGGCACTGCCCGCGGCACCTGGTGGGGCCAGAGTCACACGGATTCACAGCCGGGCAAGGAAACCTTGGGCAGCACAGATGTGAATGGACGTTTCATTGGGTACAGGCTCTGCTGGCTCTGTTCTTGGCTGAGCTCCCTGGAGGTCAAGGAGGCCCACCCTGGGAAAGAAGTGGTTTCCCAGCAGTCAGCAGTGCCTGTCTCCCTACAGCTAGGCTCTGGGGGAGGATGTCCTTCATTTCCTTCCTTTGTCTCGCACGGAGCTCCTACTTTGCACCTGTCCCCGGGCTGCTGAGATGGGTGAGAAACACACTGGGCTTGCCCTGGAGTGGCTACAGCACCAGCCCAGCCACTCCACTACGGCACCAGGCCAGCCCACCCAGGAGCCTCCTCAGAGAGATGGAGGGCACTGTGGAGGAGGGGAGCTTGGATTCCACCCTGGATGAAATGGGCCTCAGGCCAGTGACGGGTCCCTTCATTTCCTCTTCTGTAAAAGGGAATGAGGAAGGTGCTAGCCTGTAAAACAAGGCTCCTAATACCCGCGGCGAGGCTGTTACTGACCCAGGTGCGCCCGGCCCTCGTCGTGAGGCCCATGGCCTCCGATGCATGTGAAAGTTGGACATGGGCTAAGGTCGACCGAAGGAGAATCGGTGCGTTTGAATCGTGGTGCTAGAGACGCATATTAAAAATACCATGGACGGCCCAAAGGACAGGCTGATCTGTCCTGGAAGAAGTATGACCAGAGTGCTCTTCACAGGCAAAGATCAGCAGTGAGACGTCACCTTGCAGACTTTGGACATGTTGTCAGGAGAAGGTAATGTGGAGGGACGGCGGGAGAGAGGAAGGCTCTCCATGAGGTGGGCTGTCCCAGCGACGGCAGCACTGGGCTCAACCATGTCTCATTTGGTGGGGCACAGGGTGGCTATGGGTCGGAACCAACCCCACCACGCGTACCAACGACTTCTGGCTTGCACGACCTGGTGGTGGAGTGGCTTGCAGGAGCCCTGGGGTTGCACATTGGGCTGCTAACCACAAGGTCAGCAGTTCGAACCACCAGTTGCTCCAAGGGCGATGTCTCAGGAGCCCGTTCCCCGGGGCCCCCAGCCCCACATCCATCGGTCGCCAAGTCCCTTAGTCTCTGCACCCCTAACCTGTCTGGCATCTGTTCTGACGACATCCCTTGCACCTGCCATCTCTGTCCTGGATCCCGGAGACCACTGGCCAAGTGGCCTCCCTGCTGCTGGTCTCATGACTCGACACCCCCCCACCTCCCC